ATTTTGATGGGTTTACCTTTGTATGTTACTTGTTTTTTCTCTCTTACAGTCTTCAATATTCTTTCCCTAGTTTCTGAACTTGTTGTTTTAGTAATGATATGTCATGGGGTAGTTCTATTTTGATCTGGTCTGTTTGGTGTCCTGGAGGCCTCTTGCATCTGTATGGGAATATCTTTCTCTAGATTTGGGAAATTTTCCATTATTATTTTGTTGAATATATTGCACATTGCCTTCGCTTGTACCTCTTGTCCTTCTTCGATGCCCATGATTCTCAAGTTTGGTCTTTGGATGGAGTCAGTGAGTTCTTGCATTTTCTTTTCACAGGTCTTGAGTTGTTTATTAATAGTTCTTTGGTTTTTCCTTTAATTACCATTTCATCTTCAAGTTCTGAGATTCTGTCTTCTGTTCGTTCTATTCTGCTGGATTGGCCTTCTGTTTTGTTTTGCACTTCTGTTTCATTCTTTTTTCTGAGGTTTTCCATATCCTGGAATGGAAGGGTGAGTGGAGATGGAAAGCAAGAAGTTAAAGAAAAGGGAAAAAGAAATAGACAAGTAGGAGAATACAGAGCAAGGAATCAGACAAGAAAGTTTCAAAGGTATAAACAGGGAGCATTAGTGTACTAATTGACAGTAAGCTGAACAGACATTAGAGAGACAGAGAGAGGATTGAAAATAAAAAATAAAAAGAATAAAGATAAGAATGACAATAAAAAATAAGTAAATGAAAGAAATATATATATAAATAAAATAAAATGAAAAATAGAAAATTAAAAAAAAAACAAAAACCTCCAAGTTCAAATGCAATGAATTTCAGTCTTAATAATTTGGGTGTCTGTCTGTCTCCAATCCTGGGGATGGTGCCTCAGATGTTGTTCTGTAGTTGTCTCACCAAAGGGGACACATAAAGTAGAACAAAACTACACACACACACACACACAAACACCACCAAGTGTCCCAAGTTCAAATGCAATACAGTTTCAGTAAGTTTTTCAGCATGCAGGTGCAATTCGGTTGTTCTCTCATCAAAGGTAGGGAGAAAAAGAGAAAAAAAGAAAGAGTCTGGAGACAGTTCTGAGAATGGTATCTGTGGCTGTGGCTTGCCTGCCCACTGCTGTCAGCCTGCTGTTGCTGGAGGCGTTATTTATGCAGATCTCTGGGGTGAGCTTAGCACTCATCTGGCCCTGCAGGCTTTGTTTACTCAGAGTTCTCCTGTGCGTGAGCCTCTGCTACAAGTTTTCCCTTTTCCAAGCACACTGGGGAGGGTGACAATACACCCGCATTCTCAGTCCTGCATGTTTATTTACAGTTCATGTGGGAGGTGGGTCTTCCCCCCTCTCCTGTGCAGTTTTCCTCCCACTGCCACTTTTACAAGCTTTCTGCTCCTGATTACTGGGCAGTGCTGCTGCTCCTGCCAGCCGCCATGTTTGTTTACAGTTCACGTGGGAAGTGGGTCTTCTCTCCTCTCCTGTGGAGTTTTCCTCCCTCTGCCACTCTCACAAGCTTTCCCATTCTTGGTTGCTGGGTGCGCGACCCGCCCCCACTCCCACCAGAGCCTCTCTGGCCTGCCCGGCTTGTTTATTTACAGTCCCAGGAAGGATTCCCTTCCCCCAATCTTCGGCGCTCAGTGCGCCCCACCCTCTTTCCCATGTGTCTTTATTGTTCTTATTGCTTATTAGTCAGTTTCTCTTCTTTCCCTGGGTGGAGTTCGGTCTGTCCAGGGGGCTTTGCTGCTCTGGCCCAGGCTTGTCTGTGGGAGTACCACGGTACCGCAAAGCTCACCTTGTCTGCATCTTCCCAAGCCGTCTGGGCACGGGCGACTGGCGGCCCGGGGGCCCTCCTTGTTTCTCCATTTAATGTGAAGTGGAGATACTCTGCGCTGGCTGGAGGTGTGGAGGGGTCAAAGTTTTGCCTCTTCTCAGTGATTTTGCCTGCAAAGTGTGTCTCCAGCATCTCTCCAAGATTTCACTATAGGAGGCACGCTTTCTGCTTCTTCCCTCTAGCTGTCATCTTGGAATCCTGCGGGTGAGCTTTTCAACCTTAGCACATTCTCTTTCTTACCTCCCAAATGGCATCTCAATGAATCCTGGAAAATATGAATGTGAGACTATTGTGACCCGGTTTGGCTTAGAGGTTGCTGTAGAATAAATGCTCTCTAATACCATATTACCAAATAACACAAACAACATTGCTATGGATGAAACTCACAGATGAGTAAAGCAAATGTGTGTTTTCTTATTCTCAAATTTTATTGTAATGTGCTAACAAACCTACAAGAACTTCTAGGGCCTCATTTCATTGGCACACATGCTTTTCCAGAAAAAAGAAAGAGAGACCTAGGTCTTCCCAACAGTAGAAAGACAAAGACTGAACTCAGACACACAGGCAGGAAGAGAGATTGGAGCAGTTTGGTGACTGAATCCAAGAGAAAAACTTATCATGGCTAGAGACATGGTTCAACTGGTAGAGTGCTTGCCTGGCAAGAGTGAGGCCCTGAATTCAAACTCCATAAAAAGAGAAAAATACTAAGAGAGAGAAAAAAAAATCTGTCAACTTATGAGGGCAAACAAGGAGTCAAAATGGTATTCAGTTATAAAAAATTAGTCAAAATAGGTAAATGAAACTGACAGGCAGAGAGAAAAATGTCCTATTCTTGTGAAATATTACATTTTCCAGCTGTCTGTGACAACCAAAAATTGCTACTCCTTTTTTTGTCTTTTCTTTCTTTTTAATTGACATAAAAGTTATATGACATTTATTCAGTACAGTGTGATAATTGATCCATGTATACAATTTGCAATGTAACATCATAGGGTAGTTACCATTTCTATCTCCTTCAAGATTAATCATTTCCTTGTGTTGGGAGACTTAGAGCCTGAGTTCCAATTCTTTATGAAATATGCAATAAATTGTTGTGAGCTACAGTCACCCTACATTCACACCCTGTGGTGTGGGACACCAGAACTCATTCTTCCTGTCTGCATTTTGGTATCCCTTATCCAGCCTTCCTCTATTCTCCCTTCTCCCATCCTCCCTAGCATCTAGTGACCTCATTCATGCTCTATTTGTATAAAATCCTACTCTTTTCCAAATGAACTTTCTTCCTTTTCCTTTAGCTGATCATCTCTTTATTTACTTGGAGTCCAGTGAGTTATCAGTATTAGCACTGCACATCTTGGTCCAGTCTTTAGTGTGTAATTCACACACATGGACACATCACTGTCATAATTATCCTCAGTTTCCTTATCTGAAAACAGTAGGTTGAAGCTCTAAGACAGTTTTCAGGTTTAAAATTTTATGATAACTTCATAAGAATTGTCAACCTCAACCAATTCATTTAAAATTATAAAGATGTAGGTTTGAATTACCAAAAAGAGGTGTTTGTTCCTTAGAACCCATGAGAGAGGCTTTCTTCTGTCAATTAATGAAGCATTTTAAGTGTGCTCTTAGGATCATTGCAGATCAAACTGACCTCTATCAAATTATTAAGCCAATTCCTTTACTACTGTCCAAAAGCAGTTGTCTCTCTTCTCATGCGGTTCTTCCTGACTTCCTTTTCCAAAGAAGCCTCTAATATTTGTGTCCATGTCTCCCTATGCCAAGTTCTTTTGTGTGCCTACATAGACAAGGTCCTCACAGTCCTTGTAGTTTTGTTGCCATATGACAATCTGAAATTTAAAAGTGAGAAAATCTACATGGGAATATTTGCTTCACTCATCTGTGAGTATCGTCCAGGGTCATTTTCTTTGAGTCATTTGAAAATGCAATGGAGTCATCCAAATTCAATTTTATAGAAACTTCTGAACCTACATTGGGTTAGGCTAAAGCCACCTCTTCTCACATTCATGTTTTCCAGTATTTAATAAGATGCAACTTTGGAGGCAAAAAATGGGATGTGTCAATATCGAAACCCCTGCACAGATGCATTATTCCACTTAGATCCAAAGATATTCATTACATAACACATTCTTTGGCATTGAAGACCCTATCATTTCCCTTTAACCCACTTACTGGATACAATAAGTCATGATCTCACCTAACAAGCAGGTTTAAAAAAGAGACTATCACTTATAAAACAAAAGAAAAGGAGCTCGAACCAATGATTGGATATTCTACAATGGGTTCTGCTATGGTTCCCTTCATGATGGCTGTGGCTTTCAACAGGTGAGGTGTTGATGTGGTTTTACCAGGAGGTGGAATGCTGATGGAAACATTCTGGAACTGAGAACATTGATCTACTGGTTCAGATGTGACACCGGTCACCTATGTAATAATTCACCGACTTCTGTCTATCAAAGAGCAGAACCAAGTGTTTGCTGGTTCCTCCTTTTCCAGGTTGTTCTTTTCAGAAGGATTAAACAGGGGGATTATTTTATCTTTATAACTATTAAAAGGAAGAGAAATATAAGTGTTTTAGGCATAGCTTCTTCAAATTAGATTAATTGATACTAATGAATTAGAAGATGCTTTGAACTGCTGGTAGTGGTTACTCAAATTTGGCTATGTTGTGATTCATGATTCATCTCTAGCAATATCTGAAGCACAGAACATGTTCTGGTTTCGAAAGCTAGGTCCTACCTGACATGTTTTCTGTCTTTATGCATGATTTTTTTTCGCTAAAATAAAGTTGCTCTGCATTATGTCATTGTTTTCATGACTACCAGGGGACTACTGGGAAGTAATTGAGGAAATTTGTAATTTGATGATGAAGACATTTATGGTTCCTCTCCATGCCTTTCATCTTTCCCTTACCTTTTCCTTCTCTGTTCCTCCTTATTCCTTAAACCCACCCAGGCATTCACGCATATTATTACTTCCTGAAAAGTGTAACTGAGACGTTTGTTCTGCCAGCAGTGGGAAAATAATGCATTCCTCATGCCCTCTGTGACTGAGAACTCTTCCTGGAATTGTTCTCTCCCCATACTCCCAGCCCACTCACCCAGCCCAGGTCTATAAAGAGACCTGCTGCTGTGAACTTCCCACATTGCAATCTCCTCTGCAAATATGAAGCATCAACTCCTTCCTCCCTTCACCAGCCTTCTCCTTGTGACCTTGTTGTTTCCAGGTAAAATAAAAAGTGGCCTGGGACTGTGTGCCAGGAGCTCTGCGATGGGCACTTTGGTTATGGAAGACAGGCAGTGAGACACTAAGTTCTGGGAGCATTTTCGTGATGGGGCTTTTGGGCAGAAGTCTCTAAGATGGGTTGTTAGACACTTTGAATGTGCTGATGGATGGAGGAGAAAGTCAGAGGAGAAAGTTCTTCCTTTAGCTGCATTTTCATGGTGATGTCTAAGACAAATGCTCAGCTTGGCTATGATGAGGTACACTGACACATTGTTCCCTGCACATGCTTTGCACACACCATTCATCTCCCCTTGCACACACACATATGTGCACATTAGTGCACACACAAGTAACACTTGTACCCTTTCCAACGCACCCCATCACATTGTCCAACTTCACCTACGTCTTAGAGGTTCCTCATCCTCATAGGTCTACTGAATGGGAGAGCTCTTAACCCCGCTTCTCTTCTATATTTACATTTCAACAGGATTGTCCAGTGTCTGGTCTCTTAAACACTCAGGCACAGAAGATTCCCATGACCTCAAAGAAGAATCTCCTAGAGAAGAAACAAACAGGTCTCCCTTGTTACACCACCTAGTAAAACGCTACTTACTACCACGCACTCCTCCTTTTCATGGTAAGTTAGGTGGCAAAGTGCTTGACCAGTTCATCCACTTGGGAAATGCTGAATGAATGTGATGGGAAGTGACTGAGGGGATGGGATGGGGCAAGGAATACTTACTTGGAGAAGACTTGGTATGGGTGGTTCAGTCTGCCATACCTTCAGGAAGGCCAAGGGCTCTTGTACCCTCTGCTGTGGTTGGATCCTATAACTTGGGAAAATTGAGATCCCAAAAGGTGACTTATCTAAGTCTACGTCTATAATTTCTGACTTCATTCAAACACAGTCTCTAGGGAGGATGATAATGATAGATGATTCTCCTCCTGCTAGATTGAATCCTTTCCCTGGTTCTTGGAGGTCATTCACTCAACAGGAAATTGCTGAATACCTGCTAAATGTCAGGTGCCAAACAAGGTTCAGCAGGTGCTTCCTGGGAATGGGGGCAGAGGACACACTGCACTGTCAATCTCTGTGAGTGAAGAGGGGACAAGGAATGGGAAAGGACCAGCAGCCCAGGCCACTCTTTTGGACAAATTCAGGCTCCTGATCTGTCCCCAAACTGCTGTCCATGACTAGCTTCTTCAAATACGTACAGCCTAGAGGACACAATCAATCCTGAAATCCGCTTAATCCCAAACTTATTGCTGGGCCTTAAACAGGGAGAAATTGGATCAGAATCTCAGTGGAAAAGGAGAAAAGGATGTTTGCAAATTGCTGGTGAAATCCCATAATTAAAGTCCCACACATTTAATTGCTGTCTTATCCTGTCCTAGCTTCCATCCCCTTGGAACTTCCCTCCAGTTCCAAAGGTCTCACTAACTTTGATTTTCTCCCAAGGGAAGGGAAAAATAAAATGCAGCGATTTCACTGCTGATTTATAAATAGGTGTAACCTGAGGCATGTGCAGTTGAGTCCAAGAGCATGTCATGGGACAGGGCTATCACTCCCTTTTGGTTAGTGAGGGAACTAGGAAACTAGAAGGATCAGAGCTATATGTCTAGGGTTTTTATAGTTTATAATTTGAAACTATGAACTATAGAAATAGCTCATACTTTCCCCCCATCCTTTAATCCGTTTGATTCTTAAAACAGTCTTAAGAAGTTAATGTTGGAAATTTCTTTACACAGAACCTGAACCGAATTTCAAAATTGTCAACTGTAGGAGAAGTGAAGGCTTCTGTCAAGAATATTGTAATTATATGGAAACACAAGTAGGCTACTGCTCTAAAAAGAAAGACCCTTGCTGTTTACATTTGAACTGATGTTGATGATACTGAGCCAAAGATCTCCCCACCTGCCTCGTCCCCACCTGCCTCGTCTCCTGGGCCACATTGTCCATCCAAATGCAGTTTTTTTTTTGAGAAGTAGCTGCACAGGAAAATGTGGAGGCATCCCCACCCATGCCAGGCAGTCTAAACATTTTATTTGTGGCAAAATAAATGACAAGGACTTGCAACACATGAATTTACAAGGAGTGATCTAGCTTGATATGTACAACCTTGTCAAAATCACACAATTTGTACTGGTAGGTATGGATATAATAAATTTTCATAGGAAATCATTCAAATGATGTGTTCTTTTATTTAACAAATGTGTTTTTTTAGGCACTGAGAAATACTGTGAATTGGAAACAAGAATAAGATATGTGGGAGACAAATATCTAAACAAATAAAAACAATAAAATGCTACTTATGTCTGGGCACCAGGGGCTCACACCTACAAATTTCTGAGAGGCAGAAATCAGGAGGATTGTGGTTCAAAGCCAGGCCCAGCCCAGCAAATAGTTCACAAGACCCTATCACGAAAATATCCAATACAAAAAAGGGCAGGCAGAGTGGCTTAAGTTGTAGAGCACCTGCCTAGCAAGTGTGAGGCCCTGAATTCAAATGTCAGTACCAACCAAAAAAAGAAAAAAATGCTACCTAGGCTCTTGTGTGTTTGCATCCTAGGCAATATGTATAGCAGACATATTTAAGAGAATAAAAAACGGCTCTTGGGGAAATCTGACAGGGACTTTGGGTAATGATTAGGAATTTATTAAGTTGGGGGAGAGAGACAGATTTCCAAGAGGAGGCATGAACTTGTGGCTAGCTAAGTAAATGGGATGTCCAGCATAGCTGCAAAAGAGAGAGTATTAATGAACCCATAAGGTTCCTGTACAGACATTATACTGGTGACCTCAGACTACTAAACAAGAGTTGGCTAACATGTGTTCCAGGAGAGGAACATGATCAAATTTTAAGTTTTTAAATGTTTTTTCTGATAACAGAATTAGGAATGCACTGGGACTGTGTGAGACTAGCAGCAGAAAGTCCCGACAAGAGGTGTCTGCAGCAGTCGAGGTTAAAGGAGAGCCATCCTGACTAAAGTAGACATGATGTGAAGAAGACAAGAATCGGAGACAGTTCTAAAGAGATGGAGTTTATAGGTCCGGTGACAGGGAAGAAGGAAGGGCAATCAAATGGAACAGAGTTGTGCTAACCAAGTCTCCCCACACAAGACATAAGGAGCACAGAGAGATTGGTTTGGATGGGTTGAAATTGGAGGTTGTCATGGACATTTAGTGAGTAGTTGAATGGATTTATGTAAATCCCAGGAGAGAAGAGAAGAGGAGGAACACAAGCAGAAGTCATTCTCCAGGAAGTAATAAGAAGTCTTTAATTAGAGAGAGCTTTCTGGGAGAGAGAACTCTATAATTAAGGTACAGCTTTGTTTTGAGGGGAGGAAGGGCAATGCTGAAGAATACTAATGTTTCAGTGAGGACAGAAAATGGGGAAACATGGAAGGATTTGGAAAGGACAGATGGGAAGAAGCACCATTCTAGATGAGGATGGAAGGTACTCCAGGAAAAAGTGACACCTGAGACAATAGGAGGTGATACTGGAAACCAGAGAAGGATGCTGCATCTGTCTGTCTACCTTTTTCTCAGCTAGAACACCTAGTTAAAGATTGGGCATCTGGCTTCTAGATTGAGTATTGGATGTTTGGCTGTAGAATTTCAGTGTCCCATAAGTGATGAGAATGAAAACTTACTTAAGGAAGGCTTTTGTTTCTTTGGGGGTAAGAGTTTAAAAAGTGATTATATAAGTCAGAGGAGTAGAAGAATATGCATCTATATTAGGAGAGATACCCAAAGGAAGAATGAAGTTTAGATGACTGAGAAAGATGTGGGCAAAAACTAGAGTCCTCTCTGCTAAAAGCAGGGCTAATTACCTCGTCTATATCCTCAAATCTAATAATATCTCAGCTTTCTTTCATTCACTCACTCATTCAACAAATATCTAGTAAGCATCCTCTCTACCCAAAGTATTATTCTAAGTATCATATGTTAAATAATAAATAAAACCCCTTGCTCTCATGCATCTCACATTCTCACTGGGGAAGCACACTCCAAGAAAGACATAAAAGTAAAATATATGATAGGTTTGAAAATGGTAAGCAGTATGAAGATAAAAAAAAAAGTTAGGGAATGGAACACAAATTTTCAGGCAGATGGTTGACATTTTAGAGAAAGCAATGGCAGAAGGTCTTGTTGTGAAGGTAGCTATTAGACCCAAAGGAGGTGAGGAGGTGAGCCACCTCTATCTGATGGGTAATGAGCATTACAACTGGAGATTCAAGTAGAGATGCATGGAGGAAAGAGTGTGTTTATTATATTTGAGGAATGATAGGAGGAGAGCAGAATGGCTGGAGAAAAAAGGAACAAAAGGACAGGGTGGAGGAGAAATCCTAACAATGATCTCATAGTCCAATGGGATGACAATGAGCACTGCAGAATAGAGAATTTTCTCTCCTGGGGCTTTGGGGAAGAGGTTCACTGTGTTACAGTTGGATTGAGTGTTGGAGATTTTTTTATTTTGTTTTTCATTTTGTAGTTCTAGGCTTTGAATGCGGGGCTTAATGCTTACAAGATAGGTGCTCTACCACTTGAGCAATGTCTCCAGCCCTTTTTGCTTTGGCTATTTTGGAGCTAGGGTCTCATTTTTCATCAGCCTGAACCATGACGCTATTTATGCTTCCTGCATATCCTAAAATCATTGCTAAGGCAAATTTCAGGGAAATTTTGATTTTTTGTCAGTCTCAAGGTTTCATGGCTTACATTTAGAGTAATTAATTCTCTTACATGTGCATATCCAGATTTTAATAAACATTTATTAAAGAGGCAATCATTTTCCTAATGTGCCTTCGTAGTTCCCCTGTTGAAAATCTGATAATTTCATGTGCTTGAGCTAATTTCTGGGTTCTATTTTCTGTTCCTTTGGTGCATATGCCTTTTTTCTTTTAATGTGTTATTTCTTTTCCTTGTCTGTTCTTGCTAGTAATGGGTGAAGAAGTAACAGAGGGTATCCTTATTGTTCACTGGATCCTAATAAGATAGTCTTGAGTTTTCACCATTGATTAATGATTCTTGGTGGGCAGTTGTTTTTAATTTCAACATTTTGCTAGTATGGCCCCTCCCCTCTGTCCTGTAAGATTGGTGCTAGACAAAATCTGCCCATAATCTTATGGAAATTTCTCCATGTATAATAAGTCACTTTTGTTTCCCTGCTGCCTTCAAAATTCTTTCTTTTATCTTTAACTTCTGACCACTTGATTGTAATGTGTCTCTGATGAGTCTCTAGATTCTCTTGTGGACTGTACATCCATTCATCCTGGTGCTTTGTTCTTTGTCACCCTTAGGGCTCCAGTGTATCTGCCTACTTCATTTGCTCTCAGCCAGTTAGTTATCTCTGAAGTAAGACAGCAGGAGTTGTGAGAAGGCTTCTGAAGGACAAAGGCCGTGTGACTGCCTGCTTTGTCAGTTTCCAGATGTCAGATGATTAACGCCCTGGTCTTCTGGGAGTAGCCAGGAAAGCAGTGGTTGCTGCATGTGCAGTTAAAACTCTTCAAGGCAGAAACTGGGAGCTGGGACTCTTTGCCTTACCACTCTGCGTTTGGAGTGGGGCACAGAAGTACTCTTGTGTTTGTTTAAAACTGCCCCCTACCCCAGTCCAGAGGACTCTAAAATCCAAAGCCCCATTCAATCCCAGAGCTAGGTAATACAGAAGTCAGTCCCATAAGTGGAAGTTGCAAATATTGGAATACTCAGTTTTGGAAAAATTCCTTCCAGAGAAAAGTTGGAGACCTTGTTTTATTGCTGGAACAAAACAGGTAGAAGACAGTGGAAATGTCCTCTTCCATTCAGGCCCAGAGGCTGTTTGTCACCTGCCTCATCAGCTCCTAATGCAGACAAGTTAGAGGCCCAGTCCTTAAGCAGCAGGTGGGCGAGGGTGGAAACAAATTCTTTCCAGGAAGAAACTAAGAACTGAGAGTTATTACTTGTTTTCTCTTACTGAATTCAGAGGGTTGCCCACCGAAGTGTCATCTGACTTATCTAAAACCACCTGTCCTGTGGTGTCGGGAGGTTTGTGAATCCAGAGCCCATCAGCTCCACAGCTAAGTGACCTAAAAGCCAATCCCTCAGCCAGAGCACTGCAGGTTGGGTTTTTGATGCATGGACAAACCTCTTCCCCAGAGGAGTTGGAGAGCTTGTTCCACCTCTGGAGCAAGTCAGGGGAGAGAAGGCATGTGAGCCTCCTACACTCTTGCTTAGCATCTTGGAGGAGTATTGTTTCCTTGTCCCTTTGGGTCCCACGTTCAGGCTAGTTAGAAGCCAGGTGTATAGGCAAACCTCTCCCAGGTATAAACTGAATGTTTGGTATTTGACCTGTTCTCTCTGGGCTGATCCTGGGGTGGGAGGATAGCGGCTGAAAGATCTTGCAGGTCTGTTTAAGATCATTTCTGTTGTCTTTGTGCTGTAGGGACACCAGTGAATGCCCAGTCCACCTACTGCCACAGCCATGTGATTCGGGAACCCAAAACTTGGGTGGGATGTGTGTGAGGTCCAATGCCTCACTCTTTAGGGAGATGCTAAGACTCCATGCTCCATTGTAAGGCACTGTGCCTCAGGTGTGATTGTGGCAAGATTGTGTCTTATCTTTTCCTATCTGTTTTGATGTGGCTATTTTCTCAGTTGCTCAGTCTGTAGGAGTCACTAAACTAGATTCTAGCTTTGTCTCAGAGATATGGTTCTGTATATAGATGTTTGTTTTATAAGTTCATGGAAGCAAGGAAGTCTGGAGCCTCTGATTCTGCCATCTTGTTAATGTCAACTCCATACACTCTCGACTACTGCACAGTATAACTTTTTCACTTGTTTATTGACCATATTTTCTCTTCTGTAAGTTTTAGTAACTTTACTGGATTTATTCTCATCTAAGTA